GCAGTTTTTCTCAGAGAATAGGTACTCCCCCCTTCCGAGTCACCCCTTGTCTCCGCCCCCTATCCACCTCCAAGCACCATCCATTCGTTCCACCCCCCCCCCCCCCCCATCCACCCTTTTTTATAGAAAACACAACAAAGTATCATTTTGTGCTATTAAGTAATTTGCATGTAATTTGTTATTAACAAGAAGAGCAGTCACATAGCCCCCCTGCAGCCAGCAACAATAGCCCCCCGCCAACAATAGATCTCCCCAGCGACAATCGATCCTCCACCAGTAACAGTGGATTGCCCCAGCAACAACACACCCCCCCAGCAACCACAGATTAACCCCAAGAAACAATGGACCCCCGCCAGCAACAATAGAATTTTTAGAAGCTAGCATTATTAGACCTTCCAGCAGGTAGAAACAAGAGACTCCTCCCTCAGCAATAGATCCCCTCCAGTGACAATAGATCCCGCATGAGCCAGCATCAATCAACCTTCCAGCATACTTTGCCATTCCATACATTCAAGATCAACCCCAAGAAACAATGGACCCCCGCCAGCAACAATAGAATTTTTAGAAGCTAGCATTATTAGACCTTCCAGCAGGTAGAAACAAGAGACTCCTCCCTCAGCAATAGATCCCCTCCAGTGACAATAGATCCCGCATGAGCCAGCATCAATCAACCTTCCAGCATACTTTGCCATTCCATACATTCAGTGCTGGAGATCATCCCCAAGAAACAATGGACCCCCGCCAGCAACAATAGATTTTCTAGTAGCCAGCATTATTAGAACTTCCAGCAGATAGAAACAAGAGATTCCTCCCTCAACAGTAGCTATCCCTCCCAGCAACAATCCCCCCCAGCAACACTGGACCCCTCCCTTAACAATAGATCCCCTCCAGTGACAATAGATCTCCCACAAGCCAGGATCAATGGACCTTCCAGCATACTTTGACATTCCATACATTCAGTGCTGGAGATCAACCCCAAGAAACAAAGGGCCCCCGCCAGCAACAATAGATTTTCTAGTAGCCAGCATTATTAGACCTTCCAGCAGATAAAAACAAGAGATGCCTCCCACAACCGTAGCTATCCCTCCCAGCAACAATCCCACCCAACAACAATGGACCCCTCCCTCAACAATAGATCCTCTCCAGTGACTATAGAGTCCCCACGATCCAGCATCAATAGACCTTCCAGCAGATAGAAACAAGAGACTCCTCCCTCAACAGTAGATATCCCTCCATGCAACAATCCCCAACAATAGTTCCCCCCAGCAACAATGGACCTCTCTCAACATTAGATCCTGTCCAGTGACAATAGATCCCCCACGAGCCAGCATCAATAGACCTTCCAGCAGATAGAAACAAGAGACTCCTCCCTCAACAGTAGATATCCCTCCCAGCAACAATCCCCAACAATATTCCCCCCCAGCAACAATGGAGCTCTCTCAACAATAGATCCTCTCCAGTGACAATAGATCCCCCATGAGCCAGCATCAATCAACCTTCCAGCATACTTTGCCGTTCCATACATTCAGTGCTGGAGAATAACCCCAAGAAACAATAGAACCCCCAGCAACAATAGATCCTTCACAATCAGACCTACACCTTTCTTGGCAGCACACCACACTACAACGCACCGCATCCTGCTGTGCAATGCACCTCCATCAGCAAAGTGTACTAGGGTGCCATTCAAAATGAATGGCATCACATTGCACCTTTGCAAGTACCCACGCGTGTTGCAGTAATGCACACAGGGACATGCATGTTCCCACAATGTAATATTGTGAATGGGATCGGAATGGGAATTCAAATTTTTGCTAAATTCCATATCATTCTGAGGACATTCTATGGTATTTGTATAGCTCCTGTCTGTGCTGGTGGTATCTTACCAGATAGGGTATACTAAGCACAGAATAGCAGAGTATCCGTCATCGGTGTCCCAGTTCCAGGACAGCAAAGGGTTACATTCTGCCCTTCACACAGAGGGACACGGAGGACACTGAGTGACATTTACAGGTTCATATTTGGCACCCGAGCCTTCTGCTTGACCTTATAAGTGTGACCTTCCCTAGACCTCTAGCTGACAGATCCATGGCCTTGTCCAGTCTCGGTGTTCTTGGTGCCGAGTCTCTTCTGTAGTTTTAGCATACAAGGGTTTATTTAGATGCCTTTAAAACCGTGATTCCTGACCTGCAGTCCATTGGCACTTGTTGTGCGCCCATCGGACCCATGTAGCATTGTAATGGCAGTGATGTAGCCTCATCATGTAACATTTTCAAGTCTCGTCTGGTTTTCAACCAAACCTGTACCATGTCCAGGGCTGCGCTTAGAAACCACATGGCCCCATACAGCCAACCTGACAGGCCCCCCCCCCCCCCCCCCCCAAAAAAAAAAAAAAGTACACAGTTTACTATGCTTCAGCTATGAATGAACACAGTGATAGGTACGGACCATTAACTGTGTTCATTCAGGGAAGGAAGGGGCTTATCAATGTGACATATTTTACCAGATCCTTCTTCTACTCTCCATCCTGAAGGATCCTATTGTGTGCTTGCAGCTGCCGGTGAGAAGGAGAGGAGGGAAGCCAGAAGCATTGCAGGGGTGGGGGCACACAGGGGGGCATGGGCTGCAGGGGGAAATGTATGCTGTACAGGGAGGGTAATGGGTGCGGAGGGGGGCAGTTACTGGAGCTGATCCCCTGTACGGCTCTCTCTGCAGCAGTTGAAAGTCAGTGGGAGGGATAGGAGAAGAAGCCGGCTTTCAGCTGCTGCAGAGAGAGCCATACAGGGGATCGGTTCCAGTACTTTCCCTCCAGCCATGCCGGTCACCCACCCTGCTCACATCTGATTCATCCAGCTACCTGGGCCCCCCTGCTGGCCTGAGCCCCGTACAGGAGGACTGGTGGTACCCCCTTATCCACGGCACTGACCATGTCCACAAACTTTGACCATCATTTATTCTAGTATACCTTTTCTCCACCAAGGTTCCATGGAACTCTGGGGTTCCTGCAGAGGTTTCCATGGGTTCCTTGAGCAATGAGCTATTTCTGCATCTTAGATAAGCCGCCAGTGGTTTTGTTTCAGGGGCATTTCTTCCCACTGTACACAGAGCTCAGCATAGATGAATACACCCCAACAGATTTGTCAGAGAACCTCTACTTTCCTTTCACAATCCACATTTTCTATGGGACACTATACTACAAAATCCTCCCACAAATGCAGGCCATGGATCGCAAACAAGATTTGTTCCTTTGCACACACAAACAAGTATTTTTCCTAACAAATTCATTCAAGACCATGCCAAAATGAACACACCCCAATGAAAGTCTTAGGAGCAAAGCTAAATTTTAGACAACAAAATCCTAAGTAGCAAGAATTCAACTACAGGGGAGTCTAATTATTCATTAAACAGATGTCCAGCAGACAGATGATTATAAAAGGGCGTTACTTAACAAAGAAAACCCCTCCCATTTCATGCGGTCAGCAATGGCATTACATGCAAGAGAATTGTCACAAGGCCCGAGAAAGAAACTAATTTCTTTACACAAAAAAGATGAAGGCTACAAGAAGATCAGCAAAGCTTTACTTATCAGTCAGAATACTGGAGCAAAAGTGATACAAAAATGTAACAACGATGGAACTGCAACCATCTCACAGAGATGTCCAGGCCGTCTACAGAAGTTAACACTTGACAGGAGCGTCTTCTGAGGAGAAGGCATGAAGAAAATCGCCATCCAAGTTCACTGCAGTTAGCTAAAGAAGAGTAGAAAGCCAGACTGGGGTGATTGTTTACCGTGACACAATACGGCATATACTGAAGAGAAATGGCATGCATGGGTGTCATCCATGAAGGAAGCATCTCCTAGAGCCCATGCACAAAAAAGCCTGCCTAGAATTTGCCCAGGGCCTGTGCTGTAAAAGAAGAATACTGGGACTCCATACTCTGGAGAGATAAGACCAAGATGTTTTTTTAACTGATGGCTTCAAAACTGTATGGTGCCGGCAAAGGTGAGGAGTACAAAGAAAAATGCATGGTGCCTACAGTGAAACATGGTGGTGGCAGTGTCCTTCTGTGGGGCTGCATGAGTGCTGCTGATGTCGGGGAGCTGCAGTTCATTGATGGTGTCATGAATTCACAGATATACTGCTCTATTTTGAAAGAGAAGATGCTCCCCTCACTCCATACCCTTGGTCATCGTGCACTTTTCCAACATGACCATGATCCAAAACACACATCTAAGGCCCCTGTTACATTTCTGAAGAAGAACCGGGTGAAAGTGATTCAGTGGCCAAGTCTGTCTCCTGATCTGAACCAAATGAACCCCTATGGAGAATTCTGAAGAGACAAGTTGAGCATCATTCTCCATCCAGCATCCAGGCTCTAAAAGAGGTTGTTCTTGAAGAATGGAAAAAGATCGATGTTGCAATATGTTGCCAACTTGTTCATATCCATGCCTAGATAGACTTGGTGCTGTCCTTACAAATCGCAGAGGTCATACCAAATACTGGATGGAGGAGATTTTGTTGTGGGGTGGATTCATTTTTTGTATCAACTAATTTGAGTAAAACTGAAGATTTTGTATTAACCTTACTTTCATGGAATGAGCTAAACAAATGTTCTATAAAACTCGTTTTTTGTCAAAATTTTGGAAATTGTTCTTGTGTTCATTGAGATATCGATTCAAATCTTACTTTTCAAAAGGGTGGAGTCATTTATGCTGAGCACTGTATATAGCTATATGTAAGGGAGCATTTTTGCCTGTGTGAACATCAGTGTGAGGAACATTCTTTCCCCTGAGCACAAATGCAAAGAGCATTCTTCCCAATGACTGCCAATAAAAGGGACATTCTTCCCATTGATTTCCAATAATAAGGGTCATTCTGTTCATTGACCATCAATGTAAGGAGAATTCTTCCCACTGATAACCAATGTAAACGGCATCTTCCCCACTGACCACCAATGTAAGGGGACATTCTTCCCACTGATCACCAATGTAAGGAACATTCTTCCCACTGACAACCAATATAAGGGGCATTCTTCCACTGATCACCAATGTAAGGGACATTCTTCCCACTGATCACCAATGTAAGGGACATTCTTCCCACTGATCACCAATGTAAGGGACATTCTTCCCACTGATCACCAATGTAAGGGACATTCTTCCCACTGATCACCAATGTAAGGGACATTCTTCCCACTGATCATCAATGTAAGGGACATTCTTCCCACTGACCTCCAATGTAAGGGACATTCTTCTCCCACTGACCTCCAATGTAAGGGGCATTCTTCCCACTGACCCCCAATTAATAAGGGACATTCTTCCCACTGACCACCAATATAAGGGGCATTCTTCCCACTGACCTCCAATGTAAGGGACATTCTTCCCACTGACCTCCAATGTAAGGGGCATTCTTCCCACTGACCACCAAATGTAAGGGGCATTCTTCCCACTGACCCACCAATGTTAAGGGACATTCTTCCCACTGACCCCCAATGTAAGGGACATTCTTCCCACTGACCACCAATGTAAGGGACATTCTTCCCACTGACCTCCAATTGTAAGGGACATTCTTCCCACTGATCACCAATGTAAGGGGCATTCTTCCCACTGACCTCCAATGTAAGGAGCATTCTTCCCACTGATCACCAATGTAAGGGGCATTCTTCCCACTGACCACCAATGTAAGGGACATTCTTCCCACTGATCACCAATGTAAGGGACATTCTTCCCACTGACCACCAATGTAAGGGACATTCTTCCCACTGATCACCAATGTAAGGGACACTCTTCCCACTGATCACCAATGTAAGGGACATTCTTCCCACTGACCACCAAATGTAAGGGACATTCTTCCCACTGTCACCAATGTAAGGGACATTCTTCCCACTGATCACCAATGTAAGGGACACTCTTCCCACTGATCACCAATGTAAGGGACATTCTTCCCACTGACCACCAATGTAAGGGACATTCTTCCCACTGATCACCAATGTAAGGGACATTCTTCCCACTGAGCACCAATGTAAGGGACACTCTTCCCACTGATCACCAATGTAAGGGACATTCTTCCCACTGACCACCAATGTAAGGAGCATTCTTCCCACTGACCACCAATGTAAGGGACACTCTTCTCACTGACCAATCACACTAATGTACCATGAGCTGTAGATATAGGGGGTTGATTTACTAAAGGCAAATAGACTGTGCACTTTGCAAAGCGCAATTGCTCCAGAGCTTAGTAAATAAGCAGAAGCACTGTTGACAAGCATCATCCAATCATGTGCAAGCAATGATGCTTTTTTTTTTCCCCCTGCATGTGATTGGGTATTCTTTGCTAAGGGAATCTGTACCTCATTTACTAAATTCTGGAGCAAATGCACTTTGCAAAGTGCACAGTCTATTTGCCTTTAAATCACCCCATAGAGCCTTCAGCTCACCACCCCCCACACTCTCCTCAGTGGCCCACTGGCTGTGATTAACAGCAGTGGGAGCTTATTAGAGTTCCCTGGATACGTTACATCCTATCTCTTGTTACAAAGATGTATAAAAATAAATCAGATGGACCCGCATAGAGCAAAATGCTGCCGCGCTCCTGAACTCTCCCTAATGTTTTCCTATGTGTCCATGTACACATCTTCATTTACAGTAGTTTACAGGCATTTGAGTTTACAGTCGTTTTTTTGAACGCAGAAAACTTGCGTTCAGTGGTCGATTTTATCAGTGTTTCAAATGCAAAACGCTTTTATAATTGTTTTCGTTTGAAAATTTTTTTAACTCTTCCAGTTCCCGATGCTGTCCAGAACCTTTTGTCATCATGAAAAATGCATGCAAAGTGTTTTCAAGGTACTCAGATGGACAAAACACTGAACACAGGATGTTCCTATTAAGCTTGTCACACATTGTAATGATCAATTCACACCTCAGACCTCTCCCACCCTTGGAAACAAAAGATATGTTAATGACCATTCACACCTCAAATTTCTCATTAAGACCCCCTGCCAGGTGGCCTTAACCTCCTTGGCGGTATTCCCGAGTGTAGCTCGGGGTAACATTTCAGTACCAAGAGCGGTAACCCCGAGCTACACTCGGGAATACCATGCGGCACTGCTCCGGCACTTGTTCTTCACTTACCTTACCCTGCGCTCCCCCGCGATGTGTCCCCTGCAGCATCCCCGGCCATCTCCTCCGGCTGATGCCGGCATCCGGCTTCTCTGTCCTGTCCCTGTGACGTCGGGACGTACGGGCGCTGCCGCCGCTGGCGGTGGGAAATTTAAAAATTTTTAAAAAATGTCATTTTTTTTTTTACATTTTACATAGTAAAAGATTGCTGTCTCAACCCATTTCACATACATTCTGTCCCGAGTGCTTTGTCCAGCGCCCTGCCTGCATTTTGTCTGTTCTTTCTGCCTGGAAACTGAGAAACGTCCATGGCGTCCAAAAAGCGTCCCTTTAGGTCAAAATCGGTTTTAGACCGGCTAGAGAACAGCGATAGTAAATCAGAACCACTTGCAGAATTGAGTGATAATGATTCGTGGGGGAAATTCGTCATCAGACACTGAAAACGATTCTGCGACTTTGCTCAGCGATGTGCGAACTTGGCGCTATATTTCACATTTCAGTGTTTTTGGTTTGATTATATTATTGAATTAAATGTATTATTATTATATTATTATTTTTTAAGAGTATTTATTAAATTATAATTTATGATTTCGTGTTTCAAATTTTATCATACCCGGGATGTTTACTAGACTCTTGTTCGGACAGATTTCAGTGAGTTATTCCTAAAAATTACAGGCCTACAATAAAAAAACTACATATTTCCATGCAAAAAAATGGTACCACCCACCATCCGCTTTCAGCACCAAAAATTGGAAAGAATCATACCGCCAGGGAGGTTAATGACTCCCTCCATCAGACACCTTTCCCACCCTTGGAAACAAAAGAAATGTTAATAAGCAACTCACACCTCAGCTAATTTCAACACATCCTGCTGTCTCTGCTTCTACTCTCTGTATTTCTCTGAAACAGTCTGAAAATAGTTAATAATTTACCACTTTTCAGTGCATTCTGGGCATTTGGGAGGTTCTCCTGTGCTTATCTTTAACCACTTCCAGTCTGGACACTTTCACCCCCTTCCCCCCAGGCCAATTTTCAGCTTTCAGCGCTATAACACTTTGAATGACAATTGCGCAGTCATGCAACGCTGTACCCATATGAATTTTTTAGCATTTTTTTGAGACAGATAAAGCTTTATTTTGGTGTTATTTATTCACCACTGGGATTGTTATTTTGCTATGTAAATGAAAATGTCCAAAAAGTTTGAAAAAAAGTGTTTTTTTCTTATAAAATGTTGCAAAGAAATAATATTTCATCATAAATCTTGGCCAAAATTTATTCCGTTATCTTTTTAGAAAAAGAAAAATAACCCAAATTAGTTTATAACCAAATTATAATTTTTAAACTTTTTTTTTTACTTTTTATTTTCTTTTATATTATTATTTATGTGTTGTTTTTTTTTACATACTGAAACCCTAGCAGTACAGTGTCACCATGGTAACACTGTACTACTTGTGGGGGGTGATGAAGATTTTTTTTTTTTTTTTTACACTGATTGCTTTTACACCCATAAAGGCTGTAAAAGCAATCATTTCTCCTTCTCTCTGGCTGCATTCTTGCAGCCATTGAGAACTACTGTGTGAGCTGTGATTGGTCACAGCTTGTCACATGGTACAAGACTGTTGTGAATAGCCCTGTACCATGTGACCTCTGTGATGATTCACAGATTTCACACGTAGTAAGCAATGATGTCAGAAGTGACATCTTGCTTATTACTCTGCATGTGATCACTGATTGGCCAAAGAGTGATCACATGATCGGGACCTCGCACAGAAGTCCCGTCCAACGATCGGTGTTTCCACTGTGTCCGGAGGACACAGCGGGCACCGGATCGCACAACTAGCAAATGCGGGTGCCGTTTATGAACGGCAACCCGCCCCTGGAGCGCCACCGTCCTGCTGTTTATAAACAGCAGGCAGACGGCAAGTGGTTAAAACGTTTCTAAATGTAAATGCGCATAAACGTGTTATGCAAACGTGGCTAAAAAAAGTTTTTTAACCTACAGCAGTCAGTTTCCATCGTTCAGAAGTGTCCCGTGTACATGGGGCCTTAGACCTAAGCGCCTCCCGTTCCATTGGCTGGAAATAGGTACCATGGTGCATCCATGATTTTCCTTCATTGTGGTGCTTTGGGCAGCCCACTAAAATGAATGGGCTACCCTAACGCAATACTTGTTAATGCGCGACGCAATATGCATTTAAACGCTTTGGGCCAGGCTGGTGTGAACAGATCCATAGAGCGTACCAACTTAATTTTCTCTCTAGAATAAAATCTTTCTGGGTCTTGTGGCCCTCTAGTTGCCGGAAAGGGATATTTTGCCTATCTAGGGAGTAGAGCCATTAACAACATGAGATTCTATACATTCCTTCGTTGAAATGGTTTATTAACGATGGATTAATGATTCATGAGATGCAAAGCTTGTCCATTGTAACGGCAACACACCTTCCTAATATACAATCCTCCATTATTCATGACACGGAGAGAAGCCTCTATAGATCGATAGGATGTATCATCGATTCCTGTGGTTGACCTTCAGCCTCCACTCTGTATGTCTTCTGTACGATTCATGAATTTATTTTTAGTCGGTTTCCAGCAAAGGACAAATAAAAGTGTCTTCTTAGAACTGGATTTCATTCCAGGATCATCCCCGACCTGATTGAATCCCATGAATAGACTGACCACCTTCTATCTGACCATAGAAAGGACGGAGTCTACAGAACATTGTGACTACATTACCCTCAGAGGCGGACTGACCATTTGGGAACTCGGGCACTGCCCGAGGGCCCGGGGTCAGTAGGGGGCCCCATGACATGCCCTTGGTACCTTTTCATAGGCTTTTTTTGAGTGTGGGCGAGGACACAGGGGCCCCATGAGCCCCTATTGCCCAGGGGCCCCATGAGTTGTCAGTCCGCCCCTGATTACCCGCTGTACGTAGATTCAATAGGATTGTAGAACCAACCTGTGAGCTCCAGGGAAACAGCAACACGCCTAAATTAAACACGTATCTGGGGGCCGTTATACCTGCTAAAGGATTTGTATTTCTGCCCATCCAGTCCTGAGATTTACACAGCTGTGCTACACAGCACAGCCCTGTCTCGCAGGGCAGAAGACTGTAGGTGTTGATTTACTAATGCCAGCCATAGACGGTTCGAAAATCGGCCGATTTTTCGTCTGAAAGAAAAATCAGCCGATTTTTGCACTGTTAGTGGGTTAATTGGTCGGCTGGTTTTCGGGTTTTTTTTTCACTTTTCTGCAGGCCATAGACGGGTCGAACATCAGCCAATTTTTCGAAGATAAACGAAAAAATCGGTCGTTCATTTGGCCGACGTTACCACCAACGAGTAAAAAAAATCGGACGACTAAATCATAAAGTTTATCCCATAACTTGCAGGTCACGGCTCATGCACCGATTTTTTTATCGTTAAAACGATCGGTCGATTTTGCCATCATTGCCAGGAAAATTGGCCGATCGTCCAAATCGGCCGCAAATTTTCCAACATGACTGATAATCTCAAAGTGCAAAAATACCGAAGAATGGCCGACCAATTAACCCACTAACAGTGCCAAAATGGGCCGATTTTTTTTTTTTCGGACGAAAAAAATCGGCTGATTCTCGAACCGTCTATGGCCGGCATTAGATTTTCGG